TCAAACTTTAACTTTAACTGATTTATGTGATGTTTGCCATTTGGTCTATTTTCATTTCTCTCTTCCAAATTATTCAAGAACATTTGAATATTGACTTAATTTCTTTAAATCTATGAAATTGTTTTCTACAAAACTGTGACCCCTTTAATAAAAAAGGACAAAAAATGCCTTCTGGACCCATTTGAACTGTGAAATTTGTATATAAAGAGAATTAACGGTCAGTTCTGATCTATTATTCATACTATCTGTTCTAACCTGTGTGTTATTGAGGTTCAGTCTTTGTTTCCCACCTATTCTCTCAACATAAATTCATTATTTGAATTTTTCAAGGCATCAAAATAGTGTTTTTTATTGTTATTCGTTTCTTTACCAGACAGCAAGGGAAATCATGATAGCATGGTTTTATCTTCTTGTCACTTAATTGTTTACCAGCCACTCTTTGTGATGTCCTTTGTGTGAAGACTACAGCATAAACTTTGAAGCAGCTTCTACTTTTTACCTCTACTTACCAAAATATTGTTGTAGACATCAATGTGAAACTGTTTAACCAAATTCTCTTTTAATTGTGTATTTGGTGGTTGTAAATTACACGTCTGGAATTTCATTGGAAGTTACTGAAATATGAATATATTGAATAATTATAGGGAGTCCAACTCTATGACCATTTTTATGAAGAATTTTAGCATTTGATCTTTGGAAGTGGTTGAGCTTCATCCTCCAATTGGTTAAGCTTTGTCCAATGGTCAAAACCCTGTTTGTCTTTGTAAGCACAAGTGAAAGCAAACAAAACCTCCAACATGATGGCGTGTGGGGTTTAAAGGTCATAAATTAAGAATCTACAGCGTAGATTCATAGTATGATGCACATATGCAACAGTTACTTCAAACCATAGCTTTGATAAATGCATAGATAAGCTTAAGGTCTTCTCGGATTGATCCTGAAATGAAGGAGCATGTGTTTCTTTGATGTTCTTTTTGGCAAAAGAAGAGGAAGGGGTTAAAAATAGTTTTTATACTTAATCTAGAATAATAAAATATTAGAAGTATAACTAGCGGTTGAGTGTTCACAATACAGTGAGTTTACGTTACGTAAGTTTCCAAAACACAATTAATGAATGTGTGAAAAACGAATATATCTAAAAACTTCCATTTATTTTACTGAGCTTGCTCCTTTATAAAAAAAATCTTAAAATAAAGCAAACAAACTATTTTGGCTTCTGATGTGTCTTAACTGTTCCATCAGTTCCTATATTGTAATAGTTTAAGCACCATTTGGTTTTTCAGTTTATGACCCCTTTGAAAGTTAAGTAAACTCTTCTTCACTCATCTCTTGAGCCTCTTCAGTTTGTATTTCAGCATTAAAATCTGATGTGTTGCATGCAAAAATGACAAAACCATTCAGTATTTGGGACAAGCAGCCAGTTTTGTTTTCAGGAAACAGTGAATGTCTTGCATAACTGATAGTATCACACAGACTCTGCCTCATCTCAGTGGCAGCGTGCTTCTGATTTACAGATAACACAAAGACAATCACATGTGCACTCTCAAAGACATATCTCACAAACGCTCCTAGTGTCAAAAAGGCAATTTGCTGATAAGGGACGATGTTAACCAGGCCAGACACAAAGCGTGAATCGGGACTAAATGGGAGACAGTGACAGGCAGTTTGATGAATGTGAACTGACAAACGTCAGAAGCTCTCAGCGATTGTCTTGGCTACATCATGTACGTTGTTTTAACGTATATCATTATGAAATGTGAACATATCCAGTTGATCGCTACCCTTGTTGTATTTATTTTTTTTGTAGCGATTTCCCTCAAACCTACTGTAAGGTCACAGCACGCCCTTAGTGCTGAATAGCTCTCCTTGCGCTTGTTTTATCAACAAACACCAGCCTCAAGAGTGACAGCTGCAAGGCTCCATTCAGTGAGACGGAATGGCAGAAATTCACTTTGAACATGCCAAAGGCCCAAACACTTTCACCACAGAGGGCTCCCCTACTAACAAACCCTTTGCACAGATCTAAATATAACAAAGGAACATGTGCCTGATCATCAGCCTGAGCAATAATGGGGAAATTCATATGAAACTTCCTTTGGTTTGCAACCTTTGCATTTCTTTCTGCAGAGCTAATCATTTATTTATTCACTGAGCATATCATTCTCGCATCTCATTTGAACCCAACATTTATTTCAAAATTTGCTATTCACTTTTGTGTCTTGCATTTGTCCTCATTTAGACCTATAAAAATAGACTAGGAAGTTACATCGCAAACAGGAAGTCACATGACAAACAGGAAGTTACATCACAGCTAGGCACTATAAATCCTTTAGCCTTTTAGATTTCATCTTACGTTCTATAAAAAACATTATTTTAATATATTATCAGTGTTATTGAAATATTAATCACAACCAATTACAGAAGACTCTGGAAGCCAGGTATAAGATGATCCTACAGAAAACACTACTTTATTTAAACACTAAAGATGCTAACAGCTATAATGCCGTGCTGCAATGAAGAAATTATACAAAAAACATTGTATAATGATTATATTTGTTTGTGTTATTGAAATATTAATCAGAACCTAATACAGAAGACTCTGTAAACAAGGTTTATGATGATCCAACAGTAAACATTGATGCTAAGGGAGGGGAAGGGAAAGATCCTGAGAGGTCAGGGTCTCCAGAGGAAAAGAGGCAGACACTTAACAACTTCCTGTTGTGAGGTAACTTCCTGTTTTATCGCAGACAATGAGATTCCAAATATTTTTCTAATACATTAGTAAGAAATGTAACCTTCTTTTAGGTAAGAAACAAAAAATATTCTGCAACATATCTGCGTAACCTTTAGAGACGTTCTGCACTGTGGACGCAAAATCAAGTTTTGAATCAAGAAGAAGAAAAGTCAAAGATAAATAATGATCTTAAATTATTACTTGTCATAGTTTCCTGCCTTTTCTTCTCGTTTTGCTTTATTTTTCAACGTTCTCCCTTTTCTTTGTGATCGTTTGGCTTAAAGCTCAACTTTAAATGTACAATTGGCTTGCCACATCCATCCGGATTTTTCCGTTCTGCGTTTTTCTTCTCTTCATTGTCTTCGTGCGTTTCCCTGATCATTTCCACCTGTTCAGTTGTTGGCACATCATTTGTCCCGGTGTTCTCTGTCTAGTGCTAATTATCTGTTCTATATTTTACCCAGGTCTGCCTGCGAGCAGCGCGGGTTTATTGTAGCATTTTGCGACTCTGAACGTGAGTTTGGTCCCGGTCCGTGTTTGCGCCTTCCAGGCTATATCTATGTAAAGATTAATTTTCTGGCCTTGTTTATTTCTTAGTTTAGTTATAGCTTGCTCTCCTTTGGAGAAAGTTTTAGTTTAAGATAGGTTTTCCTTCCCCCGTGGAGGTTTTACTTTGTACTTGGTGAATAAAATCTTTAAGCTCCTGCATTTGAGTTCTCTGTCTCGAGTTCCTGACAATTACTGTAATCTTCTTGTCTCCTTGTATCAGTGAAAAAAGTGAAGTGATGATAATATTTCCATTTCTTAAAACAGCCACTATCTTTCATTTGAGTCAATTTTTAATACGACTATGCAGGAAATTGGCGGTGAAATCAAGTAACAACTTTATCATGTAATCCGAGTTTATTTTTACCTTTAGAAGATAAATTCATAAAATTCAATAAGTTTAGTTATTTTCTAACAAAGTACATTATAAGTAACTGTAATTAAAATACCCCCAAACTTCAGTAATTCGGTAGCCAAAACAAGTTTGCGCATTCCACAATGTTTGTCTCATCTCTACTGTGTTTCTAAATTTGATCAACATTTTCTTTTTTTCTGGCTTTCTTGTTTCTGCTCTCAGAGTGTGGTTAATCTAATTAGTGAACTACAGGAGCAGATGTGTAAATTCCAAGAGGAAATCAGCAATCGAATTCAGGAGCAGCGCGCCCTGGAGAACCTCGGGGACAGTGGCACACGTGAGGCTCTCGACCAAAGCCCTGATGTGGGTCTTGGTGCCTCGGACGCTGAGGAATGCAGCTGCCACTGTAGAAGCGAAGGAGAGAATGTAGGCAGACCCTCATTACCTGCTGGAGTTAGATCAAGAACCCTTTGCTCCTCCCTAAAACATAACCATTCCACTCACTTTGAACAACAGGAATTGATACTAACTGCCTGTGAATCAACTGTATCTACAGGCTCCACTGTGGGATTCTTATTGGTGTTTGCGGTGGTGTTTTGCTCTTTTCGGGTGTATACCTGCATGATGGAAATTCACTAACACTAGTAGTAGTTCCAAAAGCCATTTTTCAGAATGGTTGTGGGCTTGGTGGTGACTCTAATCACTCTATGATCAAACATATAGCTCCGTTAATGTAGGTGTTTAGTTATTTAAGAGTATACATCTAAACCCTTCCATCTGAATTTCATTGAGTGATTTAACAGAGCCCGTAAAATGAAGTTTGGTTGGTGGAAACTGACTTTTAACTGCACACAAGACCACTGTTCCATGTGCAGGAAAGTCTTTCTGTCAAGCCAGTGTAGGGGCTCAATAACTTTAACTAATGTACATTACTCTAGTTTTTGGCTGATGTTTCCACTGGAATGTGCTAATTGTTCTTTCTTTTTGACTATTAGGCCTTGTTACAAGAACTACGCCTTCTCAAGAGCAAAGTAGACGAATTGGAGGGAGAGAAATCACAGTATGAAAGAAAGCTTAAAGCCACAAAGGTAATGCATGTTTAAATTGTACTTTTGGTTTTATCTCATTTGTAGCTGCCGCATTAGCTATCTCTTTGGCCAAATTGGTGTAAACCCAAATGTATATTCCATCAATAGAACTTTTGGCATTGTCCCATAACTTTTTGTAAACATATTATTTGGCCGCTTTATTTAACGGACCTATCGCTAAGTCCACCAAGAAACTTTCAACCAAAGTGACTTACAAAACAAGGAATGACCACATTGGGACACGTGCACATTTGGCAATAAACATCTTTCTGATTCTTGCTTTCCCTGGGGATTTGAACCAATGATCTTTGCTTTGCAAGTGCAATGTTCTGCTGACTGAGCTGAAGGAAAGCTGTACGGTTTTTTAACAGCAGTAGGCAAATTTTTTTTTTGTCACTATCCATTTTTTTTACAAGTTTAAAATTTGCTCTAATAAATTATCTTTAAAACAGTTTTCTGTATGCTTTATTATTTTATAAGTCTACAAAAGTGTTGAGATAAAATTAACAATTCATATTTCCCCAAAAAGCAAAGATAAGGTCAAAGCAATATGAAAACTGTATCAAAAACTAGGTGGACCTCTCCTGAGACTTATACAATGTTCCAAGCACTTTGAAAAACACAAGGTATATCACAGGTCTTATACTTCCAAGGGTTTTTCTCTTCTTTTCACTTCTAGATGGCACTGATGGCCCCAATTTGGGGTCTTTAAATGAAACTGAAAGATGATCATGCATTTTTAACTTTTTAACTTGAATAACCTGGCAAAGTATATCTCAAAACTATTCGTTTAGAACCATTCGTATGAAAACGTATAAACTTTTTGAAACTTTTCAAAATTAAATAATAGCTGGTTTGCATCATTCCTTTCCTAATTCAAAACAGGTGCTGTACCAGTGCATGCAGAGACTTCTAAGGGTTAAATTGTTGGTGACAACATTTAGGATCAACACTCTTTCTGCAGCACAGGAAAATATTTCACTGTAGCAATGGTATTTGTGTAGTATTTCATTGCCATCCTGTCATTGGGCATCTAGTTACTGTTAGGGTTAGTTTCTAACCATAGCAAACATACATCTTAGCCACTGGTGGTACCCTAATTCACACAAAAATATTGTAATAAATAAACAGGAAAAATGTAGTCCAAATTTGTGTTTGGAAGTCCATAAATGCATATAGCAATTCAAATATAACTTAGAAAGTCTAAACCAATCATAAATATTCCACCAAAAATTCCTGCATTTACAGTGTTATTCACAATTTAACAAATATTTTGACTTGCTCTTTGAATCTCAATGTTTGTACTTTGTATTTTGAAAATTTACGCATATAAATTCAAATTACACCACAAAACTTCCAAAGCAGATGATTAGCTTCACCTTGCATTCAGTTTGATGTTATTTGATTTAGATGCTATTAACTTGCTAATTTCTTCTTTTGGGCGGCGGGGCTCAGTGATGGGTTACATGCTCATCGCTCTCATCAATCCTTAAACTCTCAACGACCCTCTGGCTTTCTCTTCTTCCAGCTTTCTATCACCAACTCCCTCCATGTCTGTTACCAGTCGCTTATGACCAAGCTTTCTACTCTGAAGCTCACGGTTGAGCACACTCAGGTAGAACGACAGCATTGGGAGGAACGCTGTCGGGCAGCTCAGGTGCTTAACCCGCTCCCCCTCTTTATCCCTTGTTATCGTCCATGAGAGCATGCCGTTAAATGCCCTTTTCCACAATGGCACCCTCAGTACATTCTTGGCAGTCCACACTTTCATTAAATAATTTTAGGGGATGACAGACCACTGTAGCGTCGTTGGAGGCTCATTTAGGCAGAAAATGGTATGTAACTCTTAAGGATTCTATGGGACTATGAGGACACAAAAAAAATAGACTTGGTACATTTCAACACCTTTGTTTATATTCAAAGGAAGAGATGTACCGTATTTTTCGCGTATAAGACGCACCCAGTTTTAAATGAGGAAGATCTAGAAAAAAAAAGATTCTGAACCAAATACTGTAGTAAAATATTTTATATCAACTGTGTAAAAGTTAACAGCAGTTTAAGAACAATTATATGCCAAACATGTAACATGAATAGTCAGTAAACAGTAAAAGTAACAAAAAAGTCTGTAATGTTTCACACCTGCTCCTTACGATCCGCGCTATGGTAGGATCGACGAGCAGAGATGGGCGATGACGTCAGCGCGCACCGCCCGGTGTACAAATATGGCCGACGGCTCCGGATCTAAGCCGAAGCCGCGGATTCTCTTACGCCTTTCCTACGGCCGTGACCGCCCTCCGCTCCGCGGTGCTCTGCATTCGCCGTATAAGACGCACCAACTTTTCCCTCTCAGTTTTGGGGAAGAAAAAGTGCGTCTTATGTGGCAAAAAAATATGGTAGTTTTAATGATACATTTCCATAATAATCATTATTTTTCATTCCACCAGTCTAAAACCACTTTACCTTTGTAACCCTCTTTTGATTGCTCTGGTAATCCTGTTCACAACCATATCCGACAGGCACAAATAAAAACGTATTACTTTGTGAGATCTAATTAGTTGGATCTTTGTACAACTCCTGGGTAATATAAATGGTCAATAATGGTTTTCTATTGTGATCTTTACAGATTCGTCTTTAGAGGAGGATTTTTGCTTCTTGTAGTGTTGAAACATTAAAGTGGATTCATCATTGTGCATAAATATTTGTTGGTTTTAACTGAAGGATCTGTGGTTCTTGCCTTTCGGTGCATTGTAAGGCTGTTATAGAGAATTAGCATTGAATGTTTAGTCATGTTTGCTATTTAATCATCTAGATTTGTGGAAATCGCATATGTGGTTATTGATGATGGTAATAGGGTCAAAGTATGTAATCTAACAGTTTTAAAGCCTGTTTGTAACTATTTAAGTGATTTCTTAGATGTGTGCCAACATTGTTGTAGAATAGCAATTATGTGCTACTAAATGTTTTGCGATGAGCTGCTCCTGAAGTCACAAATGTTGCCATTTTTTCCATTTTTAACTGGCATTTGTTATGAAACAAATGTCATTGTAAGTTTTGTTCATATCACCCATCTGTTGCGTCAACAGAGATTCCTTATTCCTTGCATTTCTCCCTTTATTCTCATGTAATTTGTGTTGTAAAATTTGTGATTCCAGTTATTTTTACTGTGCTCTAAAATGTGCTGATTGATATATTTCCATTTTCAAGGCTGAGATAGCCAAACTTCAACAGATGCTTGCTTCAAAAGATGCAGAAATCGAGTGTCTGCAGCATCAGCTTCTCTCCAAAGGAAACATCAACAATGACACTGCCGAGAAAGGTACCCAATATCAGGCTTTTTGTGGGAAAATAATTCACATCTTTGCTTTTATGACTGGAACTGTTTCTTTTATTATGATATTAAATAAAACATGCTTTAAGAATTTGCTCAATTGAATTTAACATCAACTTTAGCTTAGTTTTAGTTTGCAGGGTATGATGTACTTTTGCTAAATACATCAAAGTGTTCATTCATGGTTTATAAACCTTCAAATTTCAAGATTGATACACCAAAAAGTTACATTAAAGGCCTCTACATGCCGATCCGAATTGAGATTCTCACAAAGCTTCATCTGGGTTGAGGAAATATTGCTCGCAATGATGCTCCCTGCCTGAAGATGGCATTTACAGTACAACAGATGCACTTAGCACCACACGAGAGAACAGAAAAGAAGACGACGAGAGAGAAGAAATCAAAGAACACAGCTGTTTGACAACAATGTGGAGAAAAGAGAGGATTTGTGGCACTTTATTTCCTGTTTCCTGTACGATGTCGCCACCGAGCGGCTCTTTTACGTCCTATGCATGTCATCAAAAGAGCCAGCTGTCATTGGTCGTTCCACTTGCAAAAAACAAATATGATACAACAGTCTGAAACGCATTTTCGTTGGCACCATTTGTTCGGTCGTGTGTGTTTGCTCGCGTTGGCGCACATGGTTTTCGATGAAGACGCATCATCGGTTTGTAGAGGCCTTACAGACAAATACTGCTGTTACAAATATACTAATGACACTCATGTTCGTGGAAAATCCCAAAAACTACATCCATGGGAGTGTCAGTGTGTGTGTTGAAAATGTTTATCTGAGTTCCGGTGTGTCTGTTTTTGCTGATCTTTGGCCCTTGTTCCCCACTGCTCCTTGTTGTAGAGGAAGTTTATAAGAGCAAGCTGAGAGAAAAACGTAAGCACGCATTTAAACATTCTCCCATGCTCCACCCCAGTTGCCCCTACGGGTCTTTCTCTGTCAGTCTGGCTAATGAACCCTGGCATGTTGTCAAGCCTGTCGTACCCATTCTCTCTGTTGCTACCTGTCTGTCTTTGGATTGGGGTGGTGTTAATGGCTGATTCATTGCTTTCAATCCTTCATTCCTTAGATCAATCTCCTAATATATATATAACAATATCAAGAGTGGAGCAGGTACATGGAAAAGAAAGAATAAATAGTTTTTTTGCTCATTGCTACAACTAGTTTGTATTACCATTCTACAGAGTGCGTTCTTATTTGTTATGATTTCAAATCATTTTCTGTTATATATTCATATCAGGTATTAAATGTTTCCTCATTTTATCTTTTAAAGTTGTAAAATGACAGAAAATCTTCAATATCGTCTTTATCTCGCCAAATTTATGTTAAGTTAATATGTAGAGTTGTGCTCATAAGTTTACACACTTGGGTATATTTCAGAAATAAAAAAGATAACACAAAAACTTTTTTCCTCATTAATAGCTAATGATTGGGTGAAGTCGTTTATTGTCAAACAACTGTGTTTACTGTTTTCAAATCATGATAACAGTTTTTTTTTTACCAGAATTATCTTCAACCAACCACTAACCATAAGTGGGAAAAAGCTGTGTGGGAAAAAAATGAGAGTTTGCCGGAGTATGTTGTACTTTGACTAAATACGCAAAAAATGAAAGTGTTCATTCGTGGTTTAGCAACTTTCGAAGTTCATGATTAATACAGAAAAAAAAATTGACGTTAAAAGATTCTACACACCGATATGAATTGAAATCTCGGTCGAAAAAATATTGATGCAATAATGCTCCCTGCCTGAAGATGGCATTTACAGTACAACACATGCACTTAGCACCAAACAAGGAAACAGGAAAGAAGAAGACGACAGAGAAGAAATCAAAGAACACATCGAAAAATAATGCTGTTTCTTCTGTCAGGGAGCTGTTTGACAAAAATGTGTATTTGTGGAACTATGTTTCCCATTTCCTGTGGAAACTTACCCCTTGAAAAAGAAACATCCGAAATGACAGTCCCAAAAAAATGGCCAAAAAAAAGATTTATCCTTTTTCAAAAACATATTAATA